ACACACTTCATCAGTAGTAACTAGTCCAACCCTAATATGCATTGGTCTTCCTTGGACTCCTTTCTTAATTAAAGCTAGTTTATTATTTCTCGATACAACTTTGCAATACACAGAATTTCCACAGTCGCTTTAACTTAACTACTTTTATAAACACACTCTATAATTCACAGCGATACACACACTTTGCTTACGGTGCCTACTGCTCCTTGACTCAGTTATCTGTATCTTCAATCTATCTGCCTATGCAATTCTATCTTTTTCGATGGCTATATTTGCCGGGCTTACATACTAAAAAAGAGGGCGCCTGTAACAAACTAGGAAATTCAAATCATTCGAGAAACTCCTCGCACACGCCACCAGTGCCAATGCGCCAGCAGCGTCACGTGTCTTCCGCTGTCGTAACACTGTATATATACACTGTGTACAGTTGTTGAGAAATTTATAATTATTCATGCATCTGTAAGAAACACTCAATTATAACTTTCTTTCTCTGCGAAGAAGATTGTTTGACTCCAGTTTAAATATTTGTTTTTAAAAGCAGATTTAATGTAACATGTGAACAGTTTTGGCTAGTTTAGTAGTGCACGTATATAAGCAGTGCATGTGGTGATAAATATAACTTAAGTTCTGTTAACATATCTTCACTATCAAAAGATCTTGTCGTGAATCTTAATGTTACAAAGATATATTTATGTCTAGAATTGTGAATATTTAATAACTAGGTCTCAGGTGCACATGGAATTGAAAAAAAAATTGTTTCTCAAGCCACTGTTTATGCTTTTAATTGTAAACATAAAACTGTATTCACTGTTTATATACATTACTCTCATTCATGCATAGGACTTAAATATGTCAAATGTTCTAAAGATATAAATGTCTTACAAATCTTAAGAATTTTTCTTTCTTACTGTCATCAAGTGTTTTTAGTTGATTTTACTTCCAGGTGAAAGGAAATTTTAGGACTGCAATAACCATTCCAGAGAAATCCTGGGGTAATTTTCGAGACATATTTGCAGAGTATGTGCATAAGTTGAAAGAACTTTCTGAAAAGCCAGCTGAAGGGGAAAAATGAAATGTAAACTAAAAACTATCAGGAAATGACAGTGAATGGTTAAAAGTACTCATACTGTTAAAATCAGTGAACTTTTGTGCTTCAAATTTAATATGTGCTGTGATACCTGATCTCACTAATTGGGAGATCAGCTTTTAAATTTTTGGCAAGAGCCATTTGTCCTCCAGGTATTAAAGCAGTGAACACTTTACTCTGTAAGTAAGCACTTCAACAGAGGCACCTGTTTTCCTCTTGTCATTGCTGATGAGCTGGGACCATATGCATTGATTGAGTGAAGCAGTGCTATTACTTTATGTAAATGATGGCATTAAGTGTCAACTTTAGAATCAGATATGTCACCACACTGGAGTCATGGCAGGTCAAAGTTATTGCTTTGTAATAGGCTGTAAAATTCTTTTATTTCTGCATTCTAGGTTTTCATAAGAGATGCATTCCAGTCTATTTTATTATTGTATGTATAAATGTTTTGAATAATTTATGCAGCTTTAAACACAATAATAAAATAAAAGAATTATTGAGTGTCCAGTTTATAGTTTTTTTTTATACATATACTCTTACTTAAAAGGTAAGATTAAGAAAATATATAGTCTTATTAATATTGTTAATTTTTAATGGTAAATTTGCTTTGGTTACTAAGCTGTGTACCACCATCAAAATTGCTTGGGATTGAACTGTTGATTTTCTGATATACTTGTGCAACCTTGATGTCCTCTTGTTGGTGGATGCTAAAACCAAACAGTATGTTAAATAGAGAATAATTGTTTTTTTTTCCTTTTTCATAATTTGCTTATATGCATCTTTCAAGCCATTATATTAACTATTTATTATCTACTACCATTCCTGTTTTTTTTTTTCTGTTTAAGAAGACAAAATAGCTTTTGTTTAAAGTTAGAATAAAAGTTAAAAATTGGCATTAATCATTTTATAGCTTTCTGGTCATGAATACACTACTCTACAGATTTGAAATGTTCTACCAGAAGTGCAATAGGATAGTGATGTTCCCAGAACTATTGATGGGAATATCATACATGTACCTTTAAATATTCTTTTAGCTACTTTGGAGTCATGGGTGTACATGTTATAAAGGTGACAGGCAAATCCCACTATTCAGTCAGATAATAGTGACCCATGAGTTAGCAGTGGGTACTGTTGACTGGTCCACTCTCCTGCTATAGTCTGTCAGTTCAAAATTAGGGATGGCTAGCATAGATAGTCTTTGAGTAGTTTTGCCTGAATATTCAAAAATCAAACAAATAAATCTTTGGCTACTACTCCTTTGTCATAAATCAAAATTATTAAACTATGGTTATTTGTTCTATGAAATAATAATAATTTGAACATAGGAAAGCAGAAAGACAGATTTAGAACTGACAGTCACATCATTTGTTGGAATATGTTATTCCTTCTTGTGGCTGCTGAGCTAAATTTCATTATTGTTAAACTTCATTATATGTAGTTTTTTGTTGAAGTAACCTTTCTTGTATTCCTTACACATTTCTATAAAAATTGATTATTTTATTTCTCTCTTTTATATTCTTTTTAAGAAATATATATGATGTACAGAAATCATATCCTTATAAAAATGTGCTGTAGGAAATCCTATAGTAAAATGCCTAGCAAGATTAAAACATTATCCTATAAGATATCATATAGCACCAGGACTGGGTAATTAAACTGATTAGTGCCACATAAAATAATTAATTAATCAAAATTACAATTAAATTGACTAATCTCATGAAATTAATCAACTAATTGAAATCATTGTTTCTCATTATTATTGGTTTCAATTATTCCAACTATCCAAGAAATTTTAATATTGTCATTATGTTTGTTGTTAAGTGCAAAGCTACATGTGCAATGGGCTGTTTATGTTCTGCTCACCTTAGGTATCAAACCCAAATTATAGCATTATAAGCTTATCTTAAGCAAATCTTGAAAACAATGGATTAGTTTAATGTAATTTGATTAATGAGTCCAACACTTCATCAATGAGCAAATTATAATAATCACTTTTTAAAACACTTTATAAGATACCTATAGCACTGTTTATAGGACACGTTCTAAGAAATTGATAAGATTGTTTATAAGAAATTCTAGAAGATACCTATAGGAATATTTTAAAGATATTCTACAGACTATTTTTTTCATGCACAAAAAATTTTGCCTGGATTTTGTTTTCAAATGAAAAGTGCACTAGTAAGTTGTCCTTTTTTTACAACATAGTTAACTTTGTATGGATTCTTCCTTGCATGTTACAAGTAATATAATAAATAATAACAGGCATTTTAAAGCACAAACTGAAATCCTTAGTATTTAAATATTAGAATACAGCTGTATTTGAAAATATTTCAATAATTAGTTTTTCATTTAATTAACTTTGAATTATTATTTAGTTGTACCATAATGGCTAACTTATTTTTCAGTTGCTGTTAGTTTCTGAGTTATATATTTGAAAAATAATAATTACATGCAATTTCAAGTATGATTTATAAAAGCATTATTTAATTCAATGAATATACACAAAACAGTTTTAGAAATTAAAGTGAAAAACACTGTCGATAATTTATCAATCCCATTAATACATACAAAAAAAAATGTTTTCCTATTTTGAACACTTTTGTCACCTACACTAGTTGTTCTCGTGTGTCCATTAATACCTTAGACATAGAGCTAACTCTATAGGAATCATCTGCTAATACAAAAGATTTTTGTGTAGAAGTAGAGGAATTTTCTAATACATTATCTTTTTTGTCTATGATTATTTTAATCAAAGATCTTTGAAGCCAGTCATCTGACTTGGTAGGCTTAGTAAGTCTATAAAAACAAAAAGGTTCATAGAATACTGTAAAACAGAGCAGTCACTTTAATTAAGATACTGATCAGACAATTTTAAAACAATACATCATTAACATTGGCAAATTTTTTAAATTTCATTCAGAATTTTTAAACATATTTTTTGCAGTATATTTGTGGCAAAATATAAATAACATCAAAACCTGTATGATATTTCTTCATCACAAAAAATGAATAAAAAATGTATTTTAAGGCTTACTTTACCAGTAAAATTTTTGAGTGATAGTAAATTTTAAGATATATTGCCTTTCTTTAGTAACTGATAATCAAACCACAATTTGAAAAATATACTTAAAACTTACCTCGTATAAGTTAAAGCATGTTCCTTCAGTAGTGAATATGCCAACCTTAGGTATTTGTTTTCTTTATTGAGAAGTGCACTTCAGAGGCTTTCTTTAGAGTTCTAAGTCGAACATTTCCTATTTTGGCTGTCATCATTAGAATCCTTAAAAATATGAGACACAAGGGATAAAGCAAACATACAAACTGCATATAAAATTTTTTTGTTTTTTATTATTGGTGGAAGTTTTCATTTTGTTATGCCATTAAATGTGTACTGTTGTAAAAAACAATCCAATTTCAAGATACATATGATAGTTTTAGCTCATTAAACCACACATCCTTCTTAGTGTTTCAAAAATAGAAATTTTTGTATTAAAAAAAGTTTTAACTTGTCAAGATGAGCTGCATCTAAATTTTTCAACTGCCCCAATTTCATTTAAATATCTGGACTTTAAAAACAAGATCAATGAAATCCATACTAACTTCTGACTATTTGGACTTATACTTTCTTCTGTTATAAAATCTGTTTAAGAAAAACAGTTTAAAGTTTTTGCATGTGCATTTGATATTTTAAAAGATCAAAAAAGTTGAACAAAAGTTCTTTACTATTTTAAGTTGAATTTACTTTATTTTTTTATTTTGCAATGAATGATAAATCAGTGAAATTTACTTCTGTTTTATGAATCTTGCTCTCTATATTTAAATCATACTGACTGAAAAAACTTAGATGTTGGTAGTTTCTTCATCATATAAAACTTTGTTTTCTCTTAATATAGTCTACTTGTTTGTCTGAATGTACAGACCACTCAAGTTTTTACATACTTAAGTGGATAAACCTTAAGTGGGTAGGTGGATAGGTAGATATACATTTTTTAGTGACACAAATGATAATCTCCATGTATAGTGAATTAGACTCACTAGTGTTTGAAAGAAAAATCAGAGAAGGAGCCATTCACAATCCTGCATCGATCCTGTAGTGACAGGCATAAATAATCAAGGTAAATGATAAAGTTCTATGTTGGTTTTTATAAAGTGTTTTATAAGTCTTTTTTAAATTTACTATACTGTTACAATACTCTACCATGCAATGGGATTTCAGTCACAGTTGTGTAGCAAAGTTTAAAAAAATAAAAGGAATCAAATGTCAGGAATGATGCTTTTATTTAATATGCATAACATCTGTAAACTTCCAAAATCACTTGATTGGGTTTCATTTTATAACTATCTTCTCACTTAGAAAACATCAAGTACAGATTGGAAGATCACCTCTGAATTCTGTAAGTAGTTCTGGGTCTCATTCAGATTCAGTTCTGATACAATGAGCATAAATGCACATTTGGGTTTTCTCCCAAAATGCTACATTTTATCTCATTGAGATATGCTCAAAGTTCAGCATCATTAATATTTTAGTTGAAGTCAGTGGCAATCTTTTTTACATCATTATATTTTGGTTGCAGCATATCACCAAAATTTTTATCTGAGGAAACTTCAACACTGGTTACTTGATCCAGAGTGCAATCTTCCTGTTCTGTAAGCATTTTGTTAAAAAAATACATTTTGTACAAGTCATCTCAACACTGTATCTGAGGCATTTTCCTCAAGACATTTGCAACCAACATTTTTCCAGTTTCCTCCTCCTGGACAAGTTTATGGACACACAAAATGGGGCATCCATTTTCATTCTGAATTTGTATAAGTCGGGAGTTTTTATGAATAGTTATTACTGAATGACAATCTGCAAGTACAGTATTAACCAGAAAAGAAGAAAAAACTGAAAACATATGGCTAATTTCCCTAAAAAATGGATCAGGTAAAAAAAAGCAATAGATATATGTACTAAAATTTTCTGAGTTGCACAAATTTTTCTGGGTTGGTTGGGAAAAAGGAAACAATATTTTAATTTATGTCCTGTAAGTTTTTCCTGCGAGCCTAGAAAGAAGGGTAAATTGAAGGATATTGATGCTTTCAAAAGTTCAAAAAACATTACCAGTCTTTATTAATGAAAGTAAGTGTAATACATACTCTAAAACATAAGGAACAAAAAAAGTTTTGATATACTCCTCTTTCTTGT